TTTTCTTGATGGTTATGACTTTTTAAAAACTTTCTGACTCTCCCTCTTCAGTAACTGTAATATACACAGAACTGAAATATCTAGTAGCAAAATGATATATTCTAGTTGATTTTCTAAGCTGAGGTTCTTCTGTAACTTGGGATGTAAAGGGCTGCTCCCCCTATTCAACATCATCTGGTGCTGACATATCATCAAACCCTTGATCTTTATGTAACTCTCCCTCATCTGTGGCATCTTTGATTGAAAGAGAAACTAGTGCAAGAAGAAGAATATCTTCACTTATAATATTCTCTGATGTCTTAAAGTCTGATAAGGTTTTGTACTCATCAAAAATCACATATCTGGACATGATGACTTTCTTCTTCACTAAATCCCATAATCTGTACTCAAACTCTATATCTCCATAACTTAAAAAAATACATGAAACTGGCATGTCATCAAGTTTCTGTCTTTACTCCTTAGATACATGCATAAATGCTTTGCAGTCAAATACCTTCAAATGAGAATAACTGACGTCCTTTCCAGACCTTTCTTTATAAAGAATATTAAAATATGAAGGAGCTGGTGGAGATCGATTCATCAAGTAGCAGACAGTGTAGAGTGCTTCACCCCAAAATGGTTTTGGTAAATTAACCATTTTCAACATGCATCTGACCTTTTCAAGGTGATTCTGTTTGTTCTTTTAGCTACACCATTACGTTGAGGAGTACCATACACTCTCTTCTCATGTTTAAATCCATGCTGTAAGTAGTAATTCTCCAACTCTTTTAAAGTGTATTTTCCACCATTGTCACTGCGAAAATACTTTGAGGAAGTTCTTGTCTCTCTTTCCACCATGACATAAAATTTCTTAAAATATTAAAGAACCTGATCTTTTATTTTCAACACAAACATCCAAATCTTTCGTGAAGTATCATCAATAAAAGTAAGAAAATATATGTTATCTCTTATAGTTTCCACATCAGTAGGACCACACATATAGGAGCAAACTAATTCAAGAACATTCTTTTTCTTTTTAGATGAGTTAATAAAAGAAATTTTATATTGTTTACCATACACACAATAATCACAAGGGTGTAGGCTCATACCTTTTACAAAGGGAATAAAAGACTTCTTTGTCAAAATCTGTAACCCCTTCTCACTCATGTGAGCTAGTCTCTTATGCCACAAGTTTGGTAAACCATCATCTTCAGTTGCATTCAGTGCACCTTTAATAGTATTAATCTGAGTCTTGTAAAATGTATGACACAATTTGCCTTTAGAGTAATCACATTTGAATCTTTAGTGAGTTTTTATTTTCTACCATCAAATAGATTGTAATAACCATCTAAGTCAATAATATTAGTAGAAATCAGATTAAGACGTAAATCTGATACATATTGTACGTTCTTCAGAGTCAACATGCAACCAACATCTGTCTGTACACAAATATCACAATTACCCACAATATCTGCGTAGCTGGTATTACCCATCTTCACTCTGTCAAAATTCCCTGCTTTGTACATAGTAAACGCATCTCTTCTGGATATAACATGATCAGATGTTGCAGAATCAACAACCCATTCAGTATCAGAATCAATGACGTGGCTATGATCTTTAATAAAAAAAAGTATAACAAGTTCTTCACTGTCATCAGTTACAGTTGCAGTAGTATTTTGATCATCTATTTTTTTTTTCTCACTATTCTGTTTCTTTTTCCAAATCCTGCAAATTTTTTTTCATATGTCCCTCTTTGCCCCAATAATAACAATTGAACTTTTCTTTCACTTTACCTCTGGATTTATAGCGCCCCTTAGGACCTCTACTTTTACTTTTACCTCTACTATTTGTTGTTGTAACAAGTGTTTATGAAGTCTCAATACACATTTTTTCTCATAATCTCTTTATTGTGTAGAGTATCTATTATCACATGTAAAAACAAAATATTTTCTGGAACAGAATTATTTAGAGACACTATTAAAGTTTCTCAACTGTCTGGCAAAGAATTCAAGAGCAATAACGCCTGCAATTAATCATTTAGAGCTATTTTCATTATGTTTAATTCATTTACCAACTCTTGAAATTTACTCAAGTGTTCTGCAAGTGATTGTCTATCTCTCAGCTTTAGATTAACAATTTTTTTAATGATAAAAGTCTTATTATGAGCATTTTTTTTCTCATACATATTTTTCAATTTGTTCTATAAAACCTGTGAATTTACTTCATTGTTCATATAATGGTAGATACTATTATCCCCACCCACTGTCGGATAGTTCTTATAGTCTTTCTATGCATCTTCTTCCGATCATCATTTGATTTTGCTATTGACTTAGCAATTGCTAATTTAATCGAATCATATAAATCCCTACAATAAAGAGGATCCTCCATCTTTAACTTCCAAATTGAATAATTTGAAAAAGAAAATTTTATCATAATATCAGCAAATTCCTCAATCCTAATTCACACAACTAATCTCAGATCATAAATAAATCAATAAACTAGTCAATCAAGCTCTGATACCACTTGTTGAGTCTCAAATAGAGATAAAATTAATTGTGTAAATTAAATCAATCTTAAATTAATTAGTAAGAACTAATAACCATAACCCCAAACCAAATTGATGCACAATCGAACAAAAATAATAAGTAAATAATAACTGCAAAATTAAATAGATATAAGATTTTATGTGAAAATCCTTCAGTGTGAAGGAAAAAACTACTGGTCAAGCTCCGAATCAAATCCACTATTAACGAAAATAAGTACAAGATAATCTACTAAGAATTAAATCTAGAACAAAAGAAAATAAATTTTCTTTGTGCAAAACTTAAAGAAAAAGGTAAACAAAATCAAATTTAAATTTTCTTAGAAAAAGGTAAACAATCTCTTTTTTCTTTTTCTCTTATCAACCACTCAACCTCTATATATATATATACACACATATATATCTTACTTTTCTCTTCTTTTTTTTCTTTCTCTCTTTCCTTTTCACATAGTCTCACTCTTTCTTTGATTTTTTTTTTCATGCAACATACATATATATCTATATATGAGGAAATTGCAACCCTAATCCCCTTTTTTTTTATTTTAAATTATTAATTTATCTTTTTTGGGCCGGATACATAACCAACACATATTTCTAGCTTTATGCAGGATTGAAATGTTAATTGTTCACCAATTCGCATGGAAGGAGATTTTAGCCATGGATATCCTTGTTCACTTTTATCAATTGTAATGAGAGTGTATTCTTCCCATGAACTTAACGGTTGTAGGATAAATAGTTTAAGACAGGTTGAGTTCTGTAAATCAAATGTCATGAACTCGAGATTTATAATCATTTTAACTTGACCAATATATTTCTTCTGTAGATAACTGAAGTTTAAAAGAAGATAAATTCAAGTGTGATCTTGTCAGAAGGTTGATGAAGTCTAGACTTGAAGAAAAAAAAATAACAACTAAAATATTTTAGAACGAAAAAAAAAAAAGTGAGGAGAAGAAATGTAACAGTTGTTTTAGATATATAATTATGATTATGGTGTTTATATTGAGTACGAACCCATACTATACTTCGTATAATTTTTATTTAAATTTATTGATATTTTTTATATTAATTTTAATATAAATAACTAAAACATAAATATTTAGCCAAGATAATGAAATAACATTAACCAATTTTATTATGTTTTATTCATTTACTGCACTTTAATAATTTTTTAATAAAAATTTATATGGATAAATATATACTAATTATAATATAATTTTTTAATAAAAATATATGAGAGCCATAGAGAAATGATTAACTATACTGGATCCTAATGCATAATCAAAGTCCAGGCCCAATGTCTTGTCTCAGGGAAGCTCACCCCAAAGCCCACTCTACACCCGAACTTATTCCCGTTCCCTTTCCGACATCTCGCTCTGCTCTGGTGTGGGGTGAAGTGTACATGAGAAGCAGAAAGCAGCTCTCTTGTCTTTGGAAAGCTTCATCAGCCAATCAACTGGTACTTTATACTGTCGCCTTCTATAACTTTCAGTTTGTCCAGTTTTGATTTCCAGGATTTCTGATTCTGCGGAGCTAGGACTTTTTTTTTCTCCAATTCCAAATGGTCGTTTTGGTTCTAGTATTGTGCATTCTGAAACTATGTTTCTACTGCGTTCTGCTATCCGTTTGGTTCCCGAGGAATCATAGAAAGAAGGAAAATTCCAAAATCTCGTAGGCCTCCTAATGTGGACGCCATATTCTCTGACTGCAATGTGTGTAAACTTATGCTAAGTTTGATTAGAAGGGAAATACTAGTAATCAACTGCTTTTGGGCGTTACAGGAGATAAAGAAGATTTCAAAAAAATGTTCTTCAAGAATCTGAACCTTGAAATTTTTTTTTGTGTGAATATTGTTTATTGGTGTCATGTGATAACGAAATGTTCCACTCTGTTAAACCTAATACTTCAAATATTTGGATAATTCAATCTAACAGAAGAGAGATTGATAATTCGTTAAATAGTTAGCGATTATATTGTTTTTGATAGAAACTGCTTTGCTTCCAGTAATCTGGGTTCAGCCGAACTGTGATGAACTGCTTATGGCGCGTGCATTCTTACACTGGGGGCATATTTAGAAGAACAAGTCATGTTATTGCCAGAAGTACTCCGAGTCAATGCTATGCACCGTCGTGGAAAACAAATTTTGAGCATGCAAGTGTTAAGACAATCGATCTGGAGTTTCTGCTGACACGATTGCATGTCCATTGCTATTCTTCTGGAAGGAGCACAGGCAGAAAAACTTCTCAGAGACGGAAGTTAGATTCTGAACCTGAACCGGTTATGGACAAGGAGAAAGATGCTTTCTTTGTAGTGCGAAAAGGGGATATTGTTGGTATTTACAAGAGCCTCGCCGATTGCCAGGCCCAAGTTGGATCATCGGTAATCATTTACCCCTCTGTAAACATACATTCACTTCATTGTTTTTGACTGTTTTGTCTCCTATTCCTACATAATATGACGGTTTACCCAACCCCAAGCAATTTAGGAGTAAGACCTAGTTGAGTGTAGGTGTAATGAGTGGTCTTATCTACTCAGCTATCTATTTGCCCTGTCTTCCTGTTTTGCACTAGGATTCTTGTATCTTGGGTTCAGTCTCTCCGGTTTTTTAATCCAGTTATCTTGCGCTTTTTTAATTTGTCCTTCCACAATCTAACTTGACGATGGATAAAATTAAAATTTTCACTATGGATTTTATAATACTAGTGGATGATCAAATATTTCTGAAATCACTTGTTTTACGTTACTTCTTATAGGTTAAATTAATTCAGTATAGCAAATGCTCATTGGTTCCGTTCATAAGTCTGGTTATGCTATTATGTTACATCAGCTTTTATATCACTGGTATCACTGGTTATGTCAGTATGTTATCTGTAATTATTTCTAAAACTTGCTTGAAAAGATTTGGGAGTATGATTTTTGTGCATTACTCTGCTTCTGATGTCTCACATATAATGGAATAAATATGTTGTTTTTACCTTGTAGGTATGTGATCCTCCTGTTAGTGTTTACAAGGGATACTCTCTATCTAAGGATACTGAAGAATATCTTGTCTCCTATGGGCTTAAGAAGGCTATCTATGCTATTAGAGCTTCAGATGTGAAAGAAGATCTTTTTGGAACACTTACTCCATGTCAGTTTCATGTAAGATGACTTGGTTCTCCTAGACAAAGTTTGTACTAGCTGTGTGTCGTTATCTGTTACTGAAACTGAATAGTTTTCCTGCTAATGTTCCTTATGTAATTGAAGTGTAAGTAATCTGATAATGTTTTTCTGACTTCTCTAGTCTGATTGAGCTGAAGAGAGTGGTATGGTAAAAGTAACCTTAGATAATGGTTGATGACTTGATGTTGAAAATGTTTCAGTCTAATACCGTACATATTGATTTAAGGGGAAGATTGCAATAATACGTTGACTAAAAAAGATACTTGCTACCTACTAGGGAATGACGAATATTTAGATTGATGATTCATGGTCAAGATTTTATTTTTTCTCTTCTTTTCAGGAACCAGCTTCTTCCAAGTTTGAGCCTTCTACTAAGAATGCATCCAAAAAGAGATCAAAAGATATGCTTGATTCAGAAAATGTGGTAAGTTGGCCTTGTAGCATTTTCTGAAACTAGATGTCTTTTTTCAAATAGAAGAAATAGTGGCTATTCAAAGTGTATATTCTCTTCCAAAAATATATTGTTACAAATTTGGTATTTGCATTACTTTAAACTGTCTGGCAAAAGTTTTGGCTGCTTGTTTGTCATTTTCAATACTTTCAAGAGAAGGAATATAAATGTTTTCTTTTTCCTCTATTTCATCATTAACCAGTCATCAATGAGAACAGGAATTTGTAATCTCCAATTGCCAGATTGCAAGTTTTGTGCTTTTCTAAACTTTTAGTTTATAATTCCATATTCGGCTAGAACATTTCATTCTTACAGGAGGTTATGTTGTTAAAGATGCTGCTGATATTGATTTGCATCCTTGAGTTAAAATAATAACAATATGCATGGTTTACAAATAAACATTTCTTCCATTGTAGTGTTCCTTTTCTTACATTATGCTAAATTCTTTGTAGGAAAAAATCACTTCAGGATCTATTTCAATCGATCCTTTGAAGAAGGTTGCCAAGTTAGAAGGTCAAGCCGAGGCTCAAACAGCATCATCTCATGATGTAAGTAGTTTGATGGCTTTATGGAGGCTAGTCAAATTTTTTCTGATATCCTCCTCCAATTATTCCTTTTGCTGCATTTTTTCAACTTTCACTGATCATATTATTTTGTAGGGGGGAGCAGATGCAGCAAAAGTGTGGCTTAGTAGAGAACTAATCATATATTTTCTTTTAAATTAGTGACTGAATTATGTAGATATTCTAAGTATTGAGTGTTTTCTATGTTGTGTGGTGAAGATTTAATTTACTTTAGTATATGAAAGGCCTGTTTTGGTGACAGTTATTGTTTTATCATAATAAATTTCTAGATAGATTAAGTTGATCTGAGCTTCCTTTGTTAATGTGCAGCAGTCCTGCATTCTTGAGTTTGATGGTGCATCAAGGGGAAATCCGGGATTGGCTGGTGCAGCAGCTGTGTTGCGAGCTGATGATGGAAGTGTGGTATAAGTTTTTTGCTGAAGGAACTAAACTTAAACACTAATAGATGTCTGATCCTTTTTTTTTTTGAACAGATTTGTAAATTGCGTGAAGGCTTGGGAACAGCAACCTGCAATGTTGCTGAATATCGAGGCATAATTTTAGTTTAAAGCATGCTCTTCAAAAAGGTTATACAAGTATTCATGTCAAAGTGACTCCAAACTGGTCTGTATGCAGGTTTGTAACTTTTATACTGATATCTGCTTGACCATGTTTTCATCCATTTTAGTCTTGCTTAGCTATTCCCCCCATCCACATGTTTGGTTTATTTTTTAAGTATTCTCATGTATACATACATGTATATGTGCATAGCAAAAGCATATACATAAACAGAGACATATTTGGTGTGTGTTTGTTTTGAGCTGCCGGTGATGGGAGGTTAGTGGAAAGCAGTATTTCGACCCACCTGAATTATTAACTTCTCATGTTTGTTACAGTAATCACAAACTTAAAAGTTGGTTCTTCATATTCTTGTACCTTGTATTATTTATTAGTTCTGTTGCTTGGCTTGATGAGAAGAAAAATTTAAGCTTATAAATTGTCTTTTCTTTCTCAATATCTATTGGTCTCATAGAGGATACTCTTTGGAGCAGATGCAAGGTCTATGGAAGGTTAAAAATGAGACTTTGTCCCAATTGTACAAGGAGGCCAAAAAACTGAAGGATAAATTTCTCTCTTTCCAGATCAACCATGTTTTAAGGGTGTGTCGAATTTAATTTATTCTTTCTTCTCTTTTGTGTATTATTTTTCACAAGTATATAGGTGTTGTTGTTTGGTTCGATAAACCTGTTCATTCTAGGCACAGACGTTTTTTTAAATGTCAGCTCTCTGAATGGTCTACATTCCTCACATGCTATTCATTTAGCCCATTAATGAAAACACACATTCCATCCCTTTTAGCTTTACTCAAATATTCAAATTTGTACATTCTATGCTCTTCTATATCAAATAGACCAAAAAGAAGCTAAGTAGAACTTAAAAAAGGGTATCCTGCTCGAGAGATAGTTGTCCATACAGTGATAAGAGATTTATGGATTATCGAGAAGAGAGGAGCCTTGACATATCAAGTCAAGAAAGCAAGGCTCGTAGCAATGGTAGGAGGAAAGGGAGCTCCTCGCAAATGTTGCAAAATGCATGTGAATTGAGTGACACAGGTTATGATTCTATAGTAAGCTGTGCTTTAAAAATGTGGTCTCAGGTAAAGTAGGCGGGATAAATCCTCAGTAATTGTTGTTTTAACTAGTTGAGCAAGGAAACAAAAATCTTCTAGCAGTAGTTTGCTTTTAGATTCCTGCTCTAATAATAGATTACAGAGATTTATTATTGTGCTTTTCATACCTTGAGTTGAAAGAAATTTTTTTTGCTCTGGGTTCATTAGGAGTGTGATTATACAATTTATATTACTTGCATCCTTTTTTGTATAAGATCTGTGGACAAGTTTTTTTTCTGCTAGATTCTGACATTTTATTTTATGCCTTTAAAAGGAGTTCAACTCTGTTGCTGATGCTCAAGCAAATTTGGCAATCAAACTTGCTGGTGGGAAATGGATTCTGGCTTTTCTGCACTCTAGTTTATACAATTAGGTCATGGGAAGATCAAAGAATTCCACCAAAAAAAAAAAGGGAATTCAATTGCTAGTCCACATTTCATTCACAAAATATTGATTCACAGATAAAACCGCATAAAACGTGTAATTCATTTGTTCCAAAAATTAGTGTTTACCTATCAAAATTATGACATCTGTTTTCTTGGCTGCAGATGGTCAAGTTCAGGAGGAGTTAGCATGACAGCTGAAGTAACTACAACTGTGCCTGTTTAAGGTTTGTTGCAGAAGACATGAACTACAATTATTTCGACACTAAGTGGTACTGAGCTCATCAGCATTGTTCTTTGGATTTGATGAACCAACTTCTGGAAACTTAAACCGAGAAGAGAATACCAATATATTCTTCCAAGCTCACTCCCATTGATGGGGCATTTTGAGGACACCATGTTCCGCAATCAAATTAGCTGTTGATACAACACTAGTGCGACAAAGGGACACAATAGCTCAAGCAACTCACATTTGAGTATATACATTTTTTATTGCAGGAGAAAGTCAACAAATTATTTAGTTCCAGGACCTGGAAGCTTCCTGCCTCCCTCCTCTCCACCCTCCAAAAAAGAAAAAACTGCTGGTCATATTCTTTGAGGTTAAACAATTATATTTCTCATAAGCTCCGTTCAAATTTCATCCAAAAAAAACAGAAGAGCTCTGTTTCTGATTTTGTTGTGGTTATTACAATATCACTCAGTGTTATCACAGTAGTGATATAACCTTATTGTGTCTGTTCAAAATTTCCCCTTCCATCATCCCAAATAATTTAGATAAAATATTTTTGTGATGAATAGAAATCCATTGTTGTGAAGTTGAAAATATAGATAAAAATTAATTTAATTACATATCAAATATGGTTTATATTTTATATTTAAATAATTAAAATTTTAGAATGGAATAGACGCAATAAAATAAAAATAAAAATTTGTTTTGCATCATATGGGCTGAAGAAAGATACCCATTAGGAAAGGAAAAAATTTGGCCGTTCAGTTCTTAAAGAACAAGTAAACTTTTTCACCTTTAATAAATAGTTTGAGCCGATCGACGACAAGAGAAACTAGAACTGTTGGAACAGCAAGATTGAACACGGTAATAATGTTGGTGAGACAATTTCGAAACTTCACAAAATCAAGAACTATAAACACATTTTCTTCTACTTGTTTTCTAAATTACCGATTATTGTCTTCAACATCGCCGCCGTCATCATCTGGCGTCGTCTCCAGTACAGCAGCTGATCTTGTCGGTGAAGATGATCTTGTCTACTCGGACCCACCTGTAACTCCAACTGTTAAGCCCTTGCTGCCCGATATTCTTCAGCCACGCGTCGTCGTCTATGATGGAGTCTGCCATCTTTGCCACCGAGGTACTGCTAAACTGCTTCCTTGGTTTTTGTCGTTTTTTTTTTCAATATTAGATTGAAATGCGTACTGGTGTTTCTTTGTACACCGTCATTCGCGTATTTATCGAGGATTAGCTCTTTATCTGGGTTAAAATCTTAAGTATCATGAAATAGTTGATGATGTAGAAGTGGAAATCTGTAAAATCTGTTCAAACACAAGCATTGAAAATCTTAAGAGCACTTTGCTTTTTTTCTTTTTTGTTTTCCTAACCAGTAAAAAGATGATGAACTTAAGGAGTGTCTATTCAAATCCAACCTGATTTCTTGAAACTGGCAGCAATACTAAATGGAATTAGCGTATGAGAGGTTTTATAATAGTTTAATCACTGGTGAAATCATCCTTGTTATGAATTGTTCCGAGTCTTTTTCTTCCCTGAAGTTCAACTTCTACTCTCTGAATATGGATTTTTTGGTTCTTACCTCTAGTATCTCAGTTATGTTTCAAATATAACTAGTTTCTTGAACTCTAATTACTTGTGCCCTGTAGCCTAGAGAGAAACATTTTTTATGCATACACCAGTTATATCTGATTAGAATATTCTTCTGTGACCTTGCTGACTTCTAATTTTACAGGAGTTAAATGGGTAATTGAAGCAGACAAGGATAGGAAGATCAAGTTCTGTTGCCTTCAGTCCAAGGCTGCTGAGCCGTACTTGAGAATCAGCGGCCTTAGCAGAGAGGATGTTCTCCGTCGATTCTTGTTCATTGAAGGCCCTGGTTCATATCACCAAGCATCTACTGGTGAGCCTCTATTTCTTTTCCAATCCCTGGCTCTTAAATGATATACCTGCATTATTCTCTTATTGTTTGCAGCTAGATATATGAATATGCTAGCATAGTACAATTTCACTGGCTTCTTGATTCAGTCCTCTGCTTTTTGTGTAGTTTGTATGATAATTTGGATGATGTTAAGTTATTCTTCAATTATTGTGCAGCTGCATTGAAAGTGATGTCATACTTGCCATTGCCATACTCTGCTTTAAGCACACTGCTGATAACTCCGACTCCCCTCAGAGATGCTGTGTATGACTACGTTGCCAAACGACGTTATGATTGGTTTGGAAAAAGTGAAGATTGCTTGGTTTTGCACGAGAAGGAGCTGCTTGAGCGTTTCATAGATATTGATGAAATGATGGATAAGGCTGATTAAATTCTGAAATCCACCAATTCTAATATTATCTTGTTTGGTACTCGGCTGCATGGTTAATAGTATGTAAATTCTTACTTCTACCAGGATTATCCAAAACAAAAATCAACCAGAAGATGGTGTTCTTTTAGGAATGCTACATCTCATATATTACTTTTAAAATACAATGAGAAAGAGCGGTTGTCTTTACCTGAAAAGCCTTTAAAGATATAGATAATTAATTGAATTTCCACCTCAACGAAATTAAGGATAGAGGTAGTGGTAACTTAAATAGAAAAATGGTGTTTGAATAATGCACATATAACATATAAGAATTAAGATATGGAATTGAGTAAAAATTAAATGGGAAGTAGAGCAGATGCAACATTATGTTTATGGAGATAAATCACTGCAAGTCTCAAGTATCAAAGTGAAATATCCAAGACAAGTCAAGTGGTTAATAACTCTGCCTACTCAAAACCATCATCTGATGTTCAAGAGTCATAAAATTTTACAAACCTCAATTAGAACATGAACTGAAAAGCAGAAATCTGTAAGATCTCCACTCGATGCCTACAGAACTAAACAGTTTCTCCTCTTTGATTTACAGATCAACTCATTAACAGCTTGTATCAAAGCTTTCATGCAGATACTAACCTGCTCCAACTTCAGATTTTGCTATCTTTTTGATGAATTGTGATGGTATTTCAGGCTCAATAAAATGAAATATGATTACGACTACTCATAGTACAGGAAATTATGACATGGCTTGTAGTTAGCTGCTAATCACCACCAGTCCATTCATTCCAATCCTTGTCAACATGATCCTGAGCCCATTTAACAGCAGCACGTGCAGCTTGCGGTCCACCAGGTAATTCTCTTTCATTCAGAGTATCAGCCATGTCGATGAAAGGTATGACCAAGAGTGTCCCAGGACCACCATACTCAGTATGCAAGAAGGTGCTGAAAATCTGCCAGAATTATCATAAACAACATAATCTTGCTGTTATACTTCCAATGTCTGTGCCAAGAGATAAATTCAGCGGAAATAGTTAGATAGTTTTATTCCTGTTCTACTTCCACAGTTTATGGCTGTTCTACTTCAAAATATCCATGCCAAGAGATGGATTCGACTAGAAAATTTTACATAGTTTATTGTTGTTCTACTCCCACATCCATGCCAAGAATGAAGTCAACTAGAATATATTTACAGAAGGTGTATAAGTCCATTTGCACATCACAACTGCATCAGAGAAGCAGGGGCTTCTAATTGACAATAAATCAGATGACAGATTCCTTATAACAGTTTGATGAAAGAAATCCACCAAAAAAAATCACCTTGATTTACAAAGATTAAATGCCTCTAAAAAGAACAAATCCATATATTGGGGCATGGTACATTCTACTTTACAGTTCTTTCCTCACAGCACTATATATATATATATATATATATATATTATATTTTCAGATATGTATATATGTTTTCTTTCAGAACCGACTTTTATGTTATTCTGTGAGATTTGATATACTTGGTTTGGGTTTGGGAATAAAACATATTTTAATTTTTAGAATTACTCTTAATGAAAATAAGTCACCTTGATTGAACCCCCTAAAATCTGTCACTTTTTTTTTTTGTTACAATTTACTTGCTTATTTATCACATTTAGAACAAACAAAAAAGTTATCTTAGTCTAATTTTCTAAAGATCACTTAAATACAATCATTCTGCTCAGTTAAACCAGAACAAGGTAAATGCAAAAACTCCAACCTGGCATGTCTTGTGAGGTTAACCTCATAACAAGTTTCTAATAAGCAGGCTACTATGGGATGTTTGTGAAGCAAACTTTGCATTCACATTAAGGAGGATTAGCAAGCACGTAGAACGAATCTAAAAAAAGGTTTTGGTCCTATATGCACCACAAACTTTGGGGATCTACCAATACAAGTAATTTCTATATCATAATTATAATATCAGGGTCTCGTTTAATTAGTGCCATTACGGCCATGACCATCTATGTTATCAAAACAATGCTCAGGGAATATGAGGCAAGCTTCTGCTTTGCACCACACATTTGGCCGTGATATATGTATAACAAAATGCATCAACATTATTCAAGTTATGGTTTCTATACTGTATAGCTACTGAATGTAAAAACAAGGAAATGAAAGTAATTATAAAAATACATCCATCAAAATGAGAAACATAAAAGAAGGCTTCTAAAAACTCTTAGCCTTCCCATTCACAACTTCCCGTTTGAAACTAGGAAATATACATATATATACATATGTATGTACATAAAAACACTCCCCAGCGTTAAGCACTCATTGATTGAACATTTACGCGGTGAATGTGCTAATATGATATCATTATTCAAGTTAACGGGTGAACAAAAGATTAGACTTAAAATCAAGAAATGGACCATCTTTCATGAGTTCAAATCCTAAATATATAATTTAAGCAAACATCAGAAGTCGCAGAAAATGAAATAGGGTATAAATTCAAGAAACTAAAATATTACCTCGGTGCAGATTCCGACAATTTCCTCGATGGCATCTCCATAAATATCCTTCTTAGATAGCTTCTTCAGGAGATGGGTCCTAAACTTCTCAGTCTCCTGAACAAAAAAAGCATAAACAACACATATATTAGTTCAGAGAGCAACAAATCCAAACAGGGAAACTACTAAAGAAAGGCACCCAACAGAGCATTAACGGGAAGGAGCTTACAAAGTCAGCGAACTCGGGAATTGGGTCAGGGAACTTGTATTCTGCGGCTCTGCAGATTTGCTTCTTAAATGGAAAAGAAATTGGAAGAGCTAGAAGGTGTCTTTTGTAGCTGGGTAGAGGGTATATAGAGGAGTAAGTGGAATTGAGAGCAGGGGAGTTGCTGCACGCAGAGAGGCCTGAACAATCAACAAGTGAAACGGAAGAGTTAGAGGGAGATGAAAGAAGGGAACGTGAAGTGGAAGGAAATAAAGGGGAAAAAATTGGATCAAACGAAGAAGAGAAGAGAGCTTTGCACCAGGTAGCCATGTCTCCCTACCCTTATCTTTTTGCTTCCTGCTGGTTTAGAGGGTTTAAGCCAAACCCCCCCGGGACAGGACTCTCTTAAATATTAAAATTTAAAAAGCACAAGTGTGTGTTTTCCTTTGGTGTCAAAATCTATAAAATTTCATAATTTATAGTATTAAAATCACAATTTACCATTTTTATAAATTTTTAGTTGTTAATTTTTATAATGATAGAAAAATAATGAACTACTAGAAGAGCTTTCCTTCCCCCTGATTAGTACAAAGTAATATGTTCGTGCAATTGTACAAGGTAAAAGTGAAAATTAATTATGATTTTCCAAATTTTTTTAAAAATGTAAATAACTATTTGGCTAAAAGCTTTTGATTATGAATTACTAGAATTCATCAATTAATATATTTTCTTATAATTTATTTCACCAAACCACTCACACACACAGACGGATATAATAATATCATCAGGTTGAGACTAACTTTTATTTATTTAAAGTTTGTTTAGTGCAATTTGTGCTTATACTGTGAGGTAAAAATATTTTTCAGTAAAAAAATTTTAGCAAAAGTTTATATTGTATTTAATAAAAATAATTAGAAAAAATATTATTTTAAAAAGTAAAAAATTATTATATTTAGTAAATATATTTTTAGATATTGAAATGGCTAAAGAGATATAAACATTATTTATTTCTTACTTAATAAATATTAGTTAAATTATTTATTTTTTACAATAAAATATTTTTATAAACATAAAATATTTTATATTAATATTAAAATATTATTTATATTTAGAAATTAAACTACTAGATATTTTAATATTTTAATTAAATCAAAATTACCAAAAAATTAAATATATTTTTAATAGATTTATGTAAGGATAATGTTAGAAAATTACGTGCATATAATTTCTGAAAAAACATGTAAAACTTGTTCGTGTGATAATATCTATTCACAACACATTTTTAATTTTGTGTTTGGTCCAAGGTACTCCCAATTTTTTTATTTATTCTGTAGTAGTTTGGCACCCCCAAAAACTATAATAAAAACTGCAGCTAAATGGTACCTTAATCTAATCGTAATCCTAAAGATTTTTAAAGAGATACATATAACAAGCTAAGTTGACAAATGTAAATAAAAAATACTTTAGTTAATTTAATTTTGGTAAAATGTACATGAAAATTTATACAACTCTTACTACATTTGGCATCGTCCTGCTTCAAAATTTAACCAAGTTTTCATATAACTGAAGAATAAGCATTGCAGTTTGCCAAGGACGCTGGTATCGACACTCTCATGTTTGCCTCCGCTCAAAATTTACATCACACAACGGCATGTCCAGGTCATGTGTAAAAAGGGGAGGGAAATAACAGAATCAATAAAACCTAATTGATATATCAGTTGTTAGCTAGGTTGATAAATTGTAATGGAACCATACCTGTGTAATCGATCAGGAAGGCATGGCAGAAAAGAAAGAAACTGAATTGTTCTTCTTTGTTTCTCGCCGTGCTTCCTCTCTGCCATTTGTCTTCTCGTTATATGAGTCCATGAAGACCAGATTAGTAAGCGATACTTGCAGTGGTATAGCTCCAGATTTATTCACAACCACAAAGGTGCAGGACAATCACTCTCAACAAAGACAATATTTACACCTTATATACAATATAAACTTAAAGCAAGGGACTTGGTGCTAGACAAATCTAGAGGCTCAAAAGCTCAGCATGAGACCAACTGGTGTCTATGTGACCAAAATAGGACTATAGTGAGCATAGTTTCCCGTTTCACCTACTCTACCCAAGTATAGAATCTGACCTTTGGTGTGTTCATGTACAGATGTTACAGAAACTCTAAACCTCAGAGATTCCTTTCATGTGGCTCAAGCCAAGGAAAACCGAGGAAATCAAACACCTCTTTCTCAGTATCAAATTTCAAATTTGCACTGCCTTTTCCTCCCTGCAATAGAATTCACAAATACCGACTTAAAACAAATAATGAAAGAACATTTAGGTAAAGAACATGCTGAAAAGCCAATTAACTCTTACCCGTTTACCCCCTGAACCATGAGTAGCAGGAAAAAGCCCTGTATCATCAAGTCGGAACCCTTTTGATTCAGCTAGCAGTCTCAACCTTCACTCGCATAAATACCAAAAATCAGGACAAGACTAACCAAGAAAAATAAACAAACAAAATTCACAACCATCTAGCAACTGAATTTTCAATGGTTAATCCCATTGAAGGATTCTATCATGGACCGACAATGGAAACACTATTAGAGAGAACTGCATTGGCCACATGCAGAAACTGAGAATTGAAACATCCACTTCGTTATAACCAAAGCAAGCCAATAAAAAGTCCAGATAAAAAAGTAGTCAGAAGTACATAGACATACTAAAAAGAAAAAAGTTCATATCTTGATATATGCTTTCTTCTAGGACCTGCTTTAAGTTAGAAATGTTAATGATAAGTCACAATCAGCACACTTTTAAAAATTAACAAAGGGAACATACCTCCTATTTAATACGTCATTCCCAGTCCATGCAATTAGTCCAAATGCATAAATGTCCCTTGGATATACCTATGAGATAGAAATTTTCAAGAGCGCCACTTAATCAATCATGTTTATTTCTACAACCTTACATGTAACAACCGGCACATTAACAGCAATGTAAAAATAAATCAGCTGAGTATTGAATTAAACCTTATATTCATAGGGATGGCTAGGGAACCATGATACTAAATTAAAAAAAGAAAAAGAGGTTTCCTTTTTATTGGATCACCTACATAATAAACTATTAGTATTCTAATTGGAAGAATTACCTTGAAATCAATACGGTGTCGCAGCTCACGTCCCGGATATGTGCACAGACCAAAATATGTGTCAACACCTGAATCAGTACCCTGTGAAGATAACACACATACATCAATGGTCCTTTTTGGGGTTCCCCAAGCTGGAATTCAAGTAGGAATTCGTAAGTACAAACTTAGTAAGGTTAGGTATGAACAGCTCTCTTTCTTTCTTGTATGTAAGGAAATGGGAAAGCTGTGAGAGACTGTTGTGAGAGTGAGCTAGAGTCAGAGTGATTGTGAAAGAGAATTTTCTCAGATTTTTCATTATTCAGTAAACACGCATCTACCCAAATAAAGGAAATCCACTGACACATGGTACAGAATATGAATCTAGAATGTACTTCAAGAGTCAAGGAGAGGAAACAGCTAGTCAATTGAAAATGCCACTTGAGGAATCTGGAAAAATTAGCAGAAGATTTATAAGGATGATACAAGGGGGTCAAGAGAATTCCACTAGTTTTATTGATGTTTCAAAGAGTGATTGCCCGAGTGAATTTTTTCAGTTTTTTCATTATACTCAGTAAACATGAACGTGGCCAAATTAAGGAAAAGTGATATACACATGGTACAGAAATGACTCTAGAACGTAATTCAAGACTAAAGGAGAGGAAAAAGTTAGTGCATTGAAAATGCCATTTGAACAGGAGTCTGGAAAAGTTAACAGAGAATTTACAACTAAAAGGATAATAGAAGGGATCAAGAAGATTGTAGTAGTTTCTTTGATGTTTCAAGGGGTGGTCGTGCAAGAGACTTTTTTCAGTTTTTCGTTGTGCTCAGTAAATGTGAATCTAGCTAAATTAAGGAAAGTGATAGACATGTGGCACTGGAATGAACCTAGAATGTACTTCAAGAGTCAAGGAGAGAAAGAGATAGTGCATTGAAAATTGCCATTTGAACAGGAGTCTGGACAAGTTAACAGAGGATCTACAGCTATAAGGATGATACGAGGGAGTCAAGAGGATCACAGTAGTTTCCTTCATCTTTCAGAAGGTTGTTATGTCAGAGAATTTTCTCAATTTTTTTAATTATATTCAGTAAATGTGAATCTAACCAAATTAAGTAATAACGATATACACTTGATATAGAATATGAATCTAGAATGTACTTCAAGAGTCAACTCAAGGAAACAGCTAGTGCATTGAAAATGGTGTTTGATCAGGAGTCTGGAACAATTAACAGAGGATTTATAACGATAAGAGTGATATAAGAAAGTCAAGAGGATTCCGGTATTTTTCTTGATGTTTCACCTTTGTGATCAAATAATTGGGTAGCGGCTGCATATTCTGTGTTGATTATGGATTCATTATAATTATTAAATGTAGCTTTTTTGTCTTTTTGTAAACCAAGATACTAGGTTGATCCCCATACTATTTTAACATATTCAAATTGAAGCATGTACTTTTTTCTTGGCTATTTTAATCCCTATATTTTCAAAAATGATTCATATCAGTCCCCTCTCGTTAGTTTCCTTCAAATGGCATTTGAAGATTTTAGGGAAGGAAGATGAAGATTTTCGAGAGGAAAAGAATTCCTTCTCTGATTTTCCTTGCTTACAGAATAAAGGGGGTCACATTATATAGGCACCTAGTACCCAAAAAATATCCTAACAGAATGAAGAGAAAAAAAAAATATTGTGGTAGCGGACATTCCCACCTGTCCACAACAAATTCACACAAAATTACTAAACTACTCTTTCATGATTTTCTACAGCATCATTGTGCTTCACATGTGTCATTGAGTCGACATGTGTGTGCACTCTATTTGCTGGTTGGTTTCCCACGTAGTGAACAACGTGGAAACAAAAGCCCATGGGTAAACTGGCCTGAACTTGTTTAAGTGGAATAAATCACACTGGTTCATCATCTCTCTCTCTCTCTCTCTTCCTTCTCTTCTTCCTCCTTAGAACCTCAACCCAGAACACCAAATTGTCTCTTCAGCAACAGTTTCTTTCAATTCACATGCTCCATAGTTCTCTTCTTGTACGACTCAAGATCTGCCATGGTCGCAAATGGCTATCCTTCTGGGATTTTGCTTCTTTTTGCGATGGCAAATCAGATTTGTGCCTCTCTTCTGTCTTCTTCTAGAAGGGCAAGGAAAACCATTTTAGAGAGATAGCTCACTGAAATCCCTTCCAAAAGAAACCCAGACAGAGGCCACCAAAATCCTTCCCCTCCTCTTCTGAAATCTTTTTACCTTCAACTCTAATAGGAGCTTCTTCTCTTTTCACGCGACCACCTGCGACTATCTGGTAATAGTCACATCCCAATACATGTTGTTTGATGACGCTGGCAGTGATGCGTTGTGCAGTGCCAGATTGTCATTGTTCCTTGTGCCAATTAACCTTCTCCTACTCCCTTTGTTTAATGTTTGTTGGAGAGGAAGACACGGAGTGAGCAAGACACTTGTTGCCGTTCACTCTAGAGGAAGACAGTGGAGTGAGTGAGAGGGACAAGCAACCACGGGTGAATGAGAGCACAACGAGGGTCAAGAACCCATGAGTGCGAGCCCGATGAGGGACAAGAACGGGACAAGGGACAAGATGGACTCAACGAGGGAGAAGCACCAGTGAGTGAGATCGCGAACAAGAATCTAGTGAGAGCATGAGGAGGAACAATCACACAATAAATATGAGAATTTGGGAATTCAGGGTTTTAATCGGTGGCTCTGGCCTTTTTTTTTGTACTAGACTTTATGTTGTAAAAATAAAAAAGGCCACATCAGATGCCATGTACCCAGACATGTGACATTTGAAGTGAATGTGAATGAGATCGCGAACAAGACTAGTGAGAGCATGAGGAGGAACAATCACACAATAAATATGAGAATTTGGGGATTTAGGGTTTTAATCGGTGGCTCCTGTCTTTTTTTTTGTACTAGACCAATTTATGTTGTAAAAATAAAAAAGGCCACATCAAATGCCATGTACCCAGACATGTGACATTTGAAGTGAACGTGAGTGAGATCACGAACAAGACTAGTGAGAGTATGAGGAGGAACAATCACACAATAAATATGAGAATTTGGGGATTTAGGGTTTTAATCAATGGCTCCTGTCTTTTTTTTTTTGTACTAGATCAATTTATGTTGTAAAAATAAAAAAGGCCACATCAAATGCCATGTACCCAGACATGTGACATTTGAAGTGAACGTGAGTGAGATCACGAACAAGACTAGTGAGAGTATGAGGAGGAACAATCACACAATAAATATGAGAATTTGGGAATTTAGGGTTTTAATCGGTGTCTCCAATCTTTTTCTTGTACTAGACTAGTTTATGTTGTAAAAATAAAAAAGGCCACATCAAATGTGATGTACCCAGACATGTGACATTTGAAGTGAACATGAGTGAGATCGTGAACAAGACTAGTGAGAGCATGAGGAGGAACAATCACACAACAAATATGAGAATTTGGGAATTTAGGGTTTTACTCGGTGGCTCCGGTCTTTTTTTGTATTAGACCAGTTTATGTTGTAAAAATTAAAAAGGCCACCTCATATGCCATGTACCCAGACATGTGACATTTGAAGTGAAGGAAATCCCAACTGAATGTGTCATGTGTCTAACCTTAATCACGTGACACCTCTATTAACACCATTAATAGTCAGGGGCTGAAATAATTTTTTTTTAAAAGTATGAAGACTAAAATAGTAAAAAAAAAGTATATGAACTAATTTAAATATTTTAAAATAATATAGGGATCAAATCAGTATTTTGGCTCATTTTGTATGTGTTGAATAAGATATTTTATTATTTAATTAATTGATATTATGTAATTAGAATTTTACAAGAATAAAAATTTCATATAATTAGAATTTTAATAGAATATTATTTTCTAATTAATAAGTTAAGAATTCTATAAATATTTTAGATGTAACAAGCTAAATGGTGAAAAATAAAATTTTTATTTTTCCAAAATCTACATGGTATCAGAGGAAAAATAAGGGTATTTTAGAGTTTTTAATTTCAAGATTTTTTTTTTCCAAAACCCTAGAATATTCTCACCACTCAGCCAAATGGAGTCCTAACCTTATCGGTGGCCTGCCGCCAAAGTTCCGGTGAGTGTCTGCGGCCTACCCGATCTTTCTGCTTCGACTGCACTCGGCTGTTCCTGCTGCTTCCTCAAGCATGGCCTCTGGTTCGTAGTATTTTCTTCTCTGGTTTGCGCACACTCGATCCAACCACAAGCCATTTCGTCACTTCTGGTTTGCGCAACGGCCACAACTCTTCATTCAGTTCCTTCGCGCATGGTTTGCGGACGGTGTCTGACTCCTTCGCATGCAGCAACTAGTTCGCGTATGACCTTTGATTTGATCTCTGCTTCTTTGCATAGCTTCTGATTGGTTCCTTCGCTCAGCTTCCGATTTGCGATTTTCGCTATTTCTGCTTTCCGACTTCAGCTTCATGGTGCATCGGCATTTGTGTCTGACCAGAAGATAACCGACGCGTTTGCTTCTACTTTCCGGCTTCAGCTTCCTGGTGCATCTGCACCTGCGTCTAACCAAAAGATTCTGATTCCAGAGGCTTCTTGGTTGCCAATCAGCTTGCTTCAGTTTTACTTTCCACCAGATCAGAGAGAACAGAAGGTTTGATCCAATTGTTTTCCAGTTTCATGAATTGGATCTAGATCTGCACAGCCATTGATACACGACGCGGCGGAAGAAGAAGATCAACACCACGGCAAGTCAGTTCTGTCCAGAGAAGGAGACGAGCCTGAGCCGTTTTTGAGTCGAGTTTGAGCCATTTTTGAGCCGAGTTCAAATCCTCTTTTAGCCGACTTCGAGCCTTTTTTGAACCGACTTCGAGTTGTTTTGAGCCAAGTCGAGTTGCTGCTTTACCAGACATATTTGCTTCTTCCATCCGCGAGCCTCTATGACCAACATTTTTTTGGTCCTTTTTCTGGATCTTCTGCGCGCGCCCTCCTCTAGTTTCACGATCCGGCGCAAATCCATTTCTTTTGCGTACAAGCCGCTCCGACCAACCTCTTCTGGTCCTTTTTCTTTATGGATCTTTTGCGTGCGCACTCCTCTAGTTTTACGATCCGGTGCAAATC